TGAAATAGTCACTAATTAACAAGCTTAGCAATTTGATACAACCTGTTACAATTCTCAGTGGGTGTACCAATAGATATGCAAGTCGCATGGGCAACAAGAGAAATGCATCTTGTCTCCTGAGGGCTTAAAATAATTCTTGTTTTCCACAGGAGTATACGAGGTGGAGCTCTGGATTAAAGATGGTCAGATTGCAGCAGTTTACAAAAGACAGGAATGAAAAGAGATGGCAAAACCAGTTCTGAATCACATGGATGCATGTTAGTAGGCTAAATGATCAGTGAAATTCATCAACTGCAATTTATACAAGTTGAAAAATGAAAGATAAAAAAATGTAAATGTTATTTTATAGTGGGAGGAAAATAGCTCCTTGTTTGAAAAGACAAGTATTTTCATCTACATTAACGTTACTTTAAAAATACCAAATATTCAGGCAAGTCTGCGTATTGTTGCAAAATTATCTGACTTTTAAAAGTATTTTAAAAAAAAATTTTTTTTTCATTTGCCAATGATTTACATATAAGAATTGTCTGTAATAATAAATAATAAATAAATAAATAAATAAATATAAAATGGAAAAAAAACAAAAATAACATGGAGATCCCTTTCTTTTTTCTTTAAACGCTATACAGCTTTTGTGACTTTTGAAAAATGTTGCTGTATCACACTTATTGTTCACTATTTTATAACATGTTGTCTCTGTGAAAATAATAATATTATTAAGGATACAATTTGTTGTAAAGTTCCGGGATTAGTGTGTTTTACAGATGGCATTATTTCATGTTATATCCTCCCATTACATTGTGGTTCTTTTGACCGTGGCTTTTGCGGCATTGCTAAAATCAGGTCAGAAGGTTTGTCCTTGTTTCTCTGGATACTGTCTGAAAATGCAGCCGGTACTATATAACTCTATGGGTTTCAGTATAATTGTGTAGTAAGATTTACTGGTCACCAGGGGCTCTGCCTAAATTTGGTATGTTTATTCAACCAACGGTTTTGTCAGAATGAGTAGGGTAGATGGAAATACGAATGTCTTCTATTGTTTGTAGGATGAGCCATTGCTATTATATTGTCAGGATAGGTAACGTAGAGAAGAACAGGAAAAACGTATTGCTGATCCTTGATGGGACACTTTACTGTTGTCCCCAAATTTAAATAAAAAAATCACTGTTTGGTATATATGCCCAACATGAAAACATGCATGTATTTAAGTATGCATTTTTTCATTGGAAGCTCGGTAAACCTGCAGTTCTCTTGTCTGCTGCCTTTGCAAACCCACCCCTTCTAACCCCATTCAGACTTTCTATGGCTGTCCAATCACATACTTCTCAATGCAGCTCAATGTGAAGTCTTAGTAAGGCAGGTGCTCTGGGTAATTTCATGCTTCTTGAGTATAGCTCCATTGAGCTAAACAAACCAGGAAATATCAGGACCTGTTGTCTGCTAAAGTGCTTCAAGGGAATGTCCCTTTAAGAGTCACCACATTTGATGTAAAGACTGTGTGGTGAAATACTCCCAAAAGCAGGCAAAACAGAGTCAGACATACGCTGAGATCAATAACAGGATAATGACAGAATGGTAAGGCAAGCCAAAGCCCAGAAGTACAGAGAATCAGAATAGTTAAAGGACCACAATAGTCACCCAGACCACTTCAGCTCAATGAAATGGTCTGGGTGCCAGGTCCCCCAGGTTTTAACCCTTCAGATGTAAACATACATTGTTTACATTGCAGGGTTAATCCAGCCTCTAGTGGCTGTCTTCCTGACAGCCGCTAGAGGCGCTTCCCTGACGCTCAATGCGAAAAGGTAAGTGGCTGAAGGGGTTTCAACCCCTTCAGCCCAGCGGGATGGGGGCCCTGAGGTTGGGGGGAACCTAAGGATTATATAGTTTTCCTGGGTTTGTGTTCCTGACACTATAGTGGTCTTTTAAACAGAGCTGGGTCAATAAAATGAAAGCACTTTCAGTACACAAACACACTCTTGGGTAGCAAGAACCACGAAAGGGCAAAGATTAGCTGGAGCAAGGACTTTAATTAGTATGCTGTTAGTGGCAGGCATAATCTTTACTGCACCAACACCTATGAAATAGGCGTGGTTAAAACAACATAGTCTTATAATTATGACGTTTAGGCTAATCCCTATAACAGGGAACAGCAGGGCCGCCATCAGGGGGTGACAACCGTGACAGTTGTCACGGGCCCGGCGGCCCTGGGGGGCCCGGACTGCTCTGGCAGTCCCGGGCCCCACTTTCCCTTTCTGCACACATAGATAGCGAATATCTCTATCTATGTGTGCAGCCGCGGGCCCCCGGCTCCCTGTTACCGTCCGCAGAGGAGACCCAGGCAGCACACAGCTTCTCCTCCTGTCTTCTCTCTTCTCATAACTCTCGCGAGACCCGGTTACCATGGCAACGCTCCGCGGGTCTCGCGAGAGTTATTAGAAGAGGAGAAGACAGGAGGAGAAGCTGTGTGCTGCCTGGGCCTCCTCTGCGGACGGTAACAGGGAGCCGGGGGGCCCCATGCCACCGGGCCACCACAGATGGAATCTCCCCCCTCCCTGGATACAGGTAAGCAGGGAGGGGGGAGAAACATTTAATTAAATTAATTAAAAATTAATGTTAAAATGCCCCTTCCTCCCCCTCCCCCCCAGATTGCACATATACACAACACACACTGCATACACTAACACAACACACACACTGCATACACTAACACAACACACACACTGCATACACTAACACAACACACACACACTGCATACACTAACACAACACACACACTGCATACACTAACACAACACACACACTGCATACACCAACACACAATACATACACTAACACACACTGCATACACTAACACACAACACACACTGCATACACTAACACAACACACACACTGCATACACTAACACAACACACACTACATACACTAACACAACACACACTGCATACACTAACACACACACTGCATACACTAACACAACACACACTGCACACACTAACACAGCACACACACTGCATACACTAACACAACACACACTGCACACACCAATACAACACACACACTGCATACACTAACACAACACACACTGCATACACCAATACAACACACACACTGCATACACCAACACAACACACACACTGCATACACTAACACAACACACACTGCATACACTAACACAACACACACTGCATACACTAATACAACACACACACACACCGTAATACACCAAACACAAACACACACACTGCACACACCAACACAAACACACACCGCACAACCAATACAACACACACACCCACACCAACACACCGCATACACCAAACACAACACACACACCGCACACACCATCACAACACACACACCGCACACACCAATACAAACACAATAACTGCATACACTAACACAACACACACACTGCATACACTAACACAACACACACTGCATACACTAACACAACACACACAGACACACTGCATACACTAACACAACACACACTGCATACACACACTGCATACACTAAGACAACACACACACACACACTGCATACACTAACACAACATACACACACACACACTGCATACACACACACACTGCATACACTAACACAACACACACACACACACACACTGCATACACTAACACAACACACAGACTGCACACACTAACACAACACACACAC